GTAACATACTTAAAACCCCAGCATGAGGGAGGATGAGCAGAAGGATTGCCATGAGTTAAAGATTAGTCTGGACTACACAATAGTTCCAGGGTATTCTGGGCAACTTAGTTAGACCCTGTCTCCAAATAATTTTCTTAATGACTGGGGATAGAGGCCAGTATTTTCTTAGTATGTATAAGCGAATCATCAGCATGGAAAATAATAAAGACATACTAGGTATATGGATTGACCTCTGTGAGGATCTTTCATCATTAAACTATGAAAATAAAACAATAATCTAGAGTGAAAAAAAAACATTGTAGAGAGCTGTTTCTCTACAGAGTGATTTGTACCAACTAAAATTCATTGTAGCTTTGGACTTGTTCTGCTGTCATGTTATTTGAAGATAGCAGAACATAGAATTTACTGCTAGTACGAGTGACAGAAGTAATCATATGTACATATCATCACAAAACTATATATATATATACATGAAGATTATGCAAGGTTAGATATAGATAATTTATCTATACAACATGAATATGGATTAGTTTTAGGTTCATATATATATATATATATTAAATAAAAACATACCCCACAGACCTATACTATATTATATTGTGATATATATATATATATACACACACACACACACACACACACACACACACATACACTTTTATTTCCTTTTCTTTAAACCATGATAAGTCTCTGAACAGGAGAGGGTAACAACAGCATAAAGTTATTTAAAGAGATATCTATGTCGAGGATAAGATATAGAATGATATTCAATGAAATGTTACAGGCTTGCTTTAAACCATTTGATTCGTGCTCCAAATTCATTAAAGTGTAATTTTGGAATATATTAACTTATGGCAAATTAATGATATGTTCAGCAGTCATGAAGTGTTTGCATGCTTATGTCTGAATATTAGATTTTAAACAATTCTTGAAATGTATGGATGCCACTATACTAGAATGATTTTGAATTATTTTCATTGTGTATAGAGGATCTATTTTTCTTTACATATAAAAGCAAAGGTTTACCACAAGTTAAGATATGTAACACTTTATTTTAGCTACCTGAATTATACAAAACACTATTTTACTATTTAAGTAAGGATCTCGTGCCATTAAACTGCAGTCTTTAACCTTAACTATGTCTGAAAATTCTTTTTCAGATGCAATTATAGGCTCTAGGAATCAACACATGGATATCTTTAAGAGATATTCTGATATCATACTGTGAAAATACAAAAGGTTTCCTTGATCACTCATTGAGATTATATTGTAAGAATATAATGGTTTTTACAGGGATAGCTGACCCATGCTAATGGGAGCTCACAGACTCTGAACTGACAGTTGAGGATCCTGCATTAAACTGAATATGGATGACAGTTATGTGTCTTATCCATAGTACATAAACTGGCTTTTTGGAGTCCATTCCCTATGGGGGAACATCTTGCTCAGCTTTGATACAGGTGGAAGAGCTTGGCTCTGCCTCAAATTGGTATACTAGACATTGTTGGTTCCCAAAGAGAAGCTTTACCCCCTCTGAAAACTGGATAGAAGTCATGAATTGACCATAATTCTAAATTTTCTTTAGGTCCCTGTAAGAAAATCAGTGCCTCTAATCAGCAGGAAATGGCCTTGAAAATGACTCCCACATTCCAAAAAAAAATAGACTATGGATATTTTCCTTTGTTTAGAATGTTGGTTGCAAGTTGTTATGGATAATGGTCAGGAGAAAAGCTAAACAAAGCATATTAGATTCAGAGTTCTTTGTTTTTAAGTGCTATGGGACAATGGTTTTACATCTTGTCATTGACCCAGAGGGTTTTATTCCATGATCATCACTGTGAGGAACATGGCAGTTTATAGGTAGGCATGACACTAAAGCACAGACTAAGATTTTACATCCTGATGAGCAAGTTGGAGGCAGAGAGAAAGCTAAATTGGAACGATGTGGTTGTTTGAAACCTCAAAGCCCACTCCAGTGATATTCCTTCTCTAACAAGGTCATACCTACTCCAAATAGGCCCCAGCTCCTATTCCTCCCTAAACAGATCCACTAAGTGATGACCAAACATACAAACATCTGAGCTCATGTGGACTGTTATCTCTTTCAAACCACCTCACAAAGCAAAACATAGTATGAAAGAAACCTCCTCTTTCAAATACAAGATATCCCACCAGATGCTTTATCAAGAAGCAGGCAAAGAGTCTCTTCTAAAAGATAAGCTGGGGAAAAATTCTTGGGAAAATCCCTTCCCAAGAATGCTAGATATGGCTGACCTCCCTCCATGAAACCTGGCCTGTTTTAGTTCCTGATTTGGTTTTCAGTCATTGGTTAACTCTTCTAGGGAAATTCTCCTTATCCAACTGATTCCAGGAGTCACTTACAGCTCACTGAAGAAAATAAAATTCATTTTTGGAAGGTAAAACAGCTATTCCCCCATTTCCTAATAATGATAAAACATTTACAAACCATGAAGTGGGCAGTTTTCATTTGGAGTTGTAAAGTGAATTCTTAATGCTTGTATTTTTATGAGTCAAAAGAGCATAATGGTCCTGGTTTACCAGACAAACATTCTAATTAACCAATGAATGTTTTAATTAACCGAGTGTCTTCATTTCTGTGCTTTATCTGGCTTTTGTGGTCAAGCCAGAAAACATCAAATTTGTGACCTGTTTCAAAATGAAATTCTAAAAGTATTTTCTGGATGTACAACTTTTTGTGGAGTTTAGTTTTGTGTGAGTTGATAGTCTCATGTCCCTTAATTTCATCTTACAACACTCAATGAACTAAAGGGTCTGGCTGGAGCTAGGCCTCAATTTCTTGGATGTACCAGGCTCCCAGACTAAAGGCTGATCCTCTAACAGTGGGACAAAGACTGTGTCACTTTCCAAGCCCATCAACTGCCTAGGGTAAGGACCCTCTGAGGAAAAGTTGGAGGTGCTGAGAAAGCACAGCCTTCTGAAAGATTCTCTACTGCCCGTCATCACCCTGAAAGAATGATAGAATAAATGCATTTACCCATCCTCTCTCTCTAATCTTCCTGATTCCAAAAAAACGTGCATCAATAAAAAGATTATAAAAATAAACATTTAAAAGACAGTTTGCTAACTGGAAGGATTAATGACAAGATGAAACATTCTTCAAAAATCTATTGTCATGACTTTCTGGACTTTGTTGCTTCTCAGCACTTTTTCCCCCTCAAGACAAACAAAAGAGCAACATTTGTTCAGTGGGAAAAAAAAAACAGTGTTTCTTCCTTTCTTATTGCTTTTATTGTTTGGTGTTTCTTTTCGACTGTAATGTGGCATTGTGATTTTGAGATGGAAGTGAAATCCCTTGTCTTTCAAACATAAGGATGTGATTGTGTGCTATTGTTGCCAATGATGAGCTAAAGAGGTTAATGGATCACGGAGCTGGCAAACAGCCATCTCTCCTACTGCTCCTTCTATTACACAAGATACATGTGCTGTGGATGCTGAGCTTATGATTTTGTCTGAGTAGATGGTAAATAACTTTATGGAGATTTAACTTTTTTTTCTTCTAGAACTCAACAGCTCTTTCCTTAGGGTTATTCTATTGCCTGACAGCTTAAAAATGTATTTTGAGGTCTGAGCCCATTACCTTTTGAGGTGATGGTAAAAATGGGTCCAGGGAAAGAGGCGAGGCTGACTTCTGAATGAGAATCCAGAAATACTGTGTTTAATGGATTGCAGACCACCTTTCATTTCCAGACAGACAGAATTAACACAGTGTGATGGCTGTAATAGAAAGGGCAGATATGGGAGAAAGCACAACAAGTCTTTTCAGTGTTGCTGCCAGTGATCCCCCTCCTAGCACTAATTAAGTGAATCAGTCCTCCCTGCAGTCTCAGATTGTTTCAACTTTGAATGCCACAACTGTCATTTGAAAACAGACAAGCTCTCCTGAGCAATAACATTGTGATGTTTTCGTAAAGTACTTGTACATTTGTGCAGTAAAAAGTAAGCAAGAGACAGATTATCTCTACAGAAAGAAACAGGAGGGATAAAGGATGGAAATGAGAAAACAAGCTTGACGTGTGTCCAGACAACCCGGTGAGGAGTGTGGTAATTTTATATGCGAGAAGGACCATTTTCTTATAACTGTGATTAGGCAGGGATGCGTTTTGAGAACCAGAATTAAGATAAAAGCAGCACAAATCAGTTTTCAGGTGGGATCCCTTCCAGCCCTCAAAGGCACTAGATACAGCCAATCGACTCATTCCCTGGTCTGATGTTCTGCTGAAAGCAAGGGATGGGACAGGGGGACTAAATGGGATAGATGAGCATGCCTCTGGATCTCCAGACCTGCAATAAGGCTGAGCCCTGGGCTCCTTCCTCTTCCTAACTAGGCGATGATCGCCCCCTGTGACTCTGAAGGCATACAGCAGCCCAAAGCTCGGCGGTAGCTGACACCACCAGCCGCCCCTGCTAGCCGCCAGCACTCTCACCTGACATGCTGAAGTCAACTGGCCTCTTTGAACACCTGCGTGCCCCTGCTCACTCTCTGGGTCTAGCTCCCCACCACCACAGCAGAGAAAACTGTGTGTCGCAGCTTCTCAAGCACTGGGTCCCGTCCATCTCTACGTTTCAGATGGGTGCCCTGCCATCCCAGTCACCTCTGCAGGTTCTCACAGCTGTGACCTTAGATTGTTCAGGAGCCTTGGCCACCCATCTTGCAGCCACACTGTGAAAGTCAAAGCTTGCCATTCCAGGGTGGGACAGTCAGTAAGCCAGCATTATGTCCTCCACCTCCGGGTATAAGGCCCGGCCCTCTCCGTGACGCTGGGGGCTCCAGTGAGTGCGCCCACCTCCTCCTTAAAGATACCTGCTCTCCTTTCCCCCACCCTTTTTCTCCTCCTTCCTTTTCTCTAGGTCTCTCCGCCGCCCTAGCGAGCACAGGAGCGGCCACTGGAGGAGGAGCAGAGGGAGGAGGGGAGCGCAAGCAGGCGAAGGGGCGGGGTGGGTGGGAAGAGAACCGGGAGGGTGTGGACTGGCAGCCACTCTGTAGCTGGTCGCCCGGGACCTGGTCCCTCCCGCGAGCCGAAGTGATGAAGGGGAAGATATCCTCTTAGACACACACACGCTCGCGCATCCAGCTGGGCACGTCTCTGGGAGGTAGCAGCCGGCTGGAGCGCCAGAGACCGGGCGGCGGCCGTGACAGCGCGAGCCGCAGGGAGTCCGCGCTCCGCACAGCTTGGCACTGGCGGCAGGAGGACACAAGAGAGGGAAAATCAGAGCCGCCCTGACTGTTGCTCTTTGGAACGCCTCCCGAGGGACGGGGTTTGCAGACATTGTCACCGCGGACGACAGAGGCTCTGCCCCTCGCGTGCGGGATCCGGTTCTGCAGCCGTGTCTGTGCCGGGAGAGGAGGATGCGAACCTCCTCCCGAACAGCTCCTGCGGTCCCCTTAGCTACGCGAACTCGGACTCTGGCGCCTGCCCCTGACGTGTCTGCGCCGCGGGAGCGCGCCCTGCCGCACCTGGTTCCAGTCTCCCAGGGAAGTGCGCGAAACGCGCCGTAAACTCCACTACTTCTCGTCCCCTCCGCTCCTCGCTCCCCGCCCCGGACCTCGCGGCCACCGCTGTCGCCGCCCCAGAGTGGGAGCCCGCCCTCCCCGCTCTCACGCGCGGATACAGCGCTGCTTGTCTGCTCTCTTTGCCGCTCACTCACAGCGGGCACCTAGTCAGAGCAGAGCATCCCAAACTACAGGACAACTACCACTGGGACCGCGGAAATGGCTGGGTAACCCAGCGCTACTGGTCTGGGCCACCGCTTCCCAAGCTGCGGTCCACTCAGAGGCTGTCGCCACTGGGGATGACGGTGAGTGAGCAGGGCATGCTGCCCGCTGTGCCTGGTAGAGAGGTGAGAAGAATCTACTCGGACCTTCTAGGTTTGGGGGAAAGCGAGAAGGGGAGTCGCCTAGAGAAGGCAACACTCTGGTCAAAACTCCTTGCGGGGTTTTGTTTTAATAGGTCCCTCCTGATGAAGTCTTTGAGCCAAACCCCCTTTCCTGAGGTTGGGATTAAACTAATGGGACAAGGGAAACAGCGGAGCAATTGCTTGAGTGAATTTAGATAGTCACTTGGCCTCCAAGCTTGTCCTCCTGCCGGCTCACCCTCCTGTCTGTCTTCCCAGAGACCTATAAGCAGTGCTTTCCTAGAGTCAGAGGGAGAACTCGCTTTCACTGAAGATTGCTCATCTCAGCAGAGTTTTTGGGGGGTTCGTGCTTGGCCACTTCTGGGCTGATTGCATACTGCCATTTGAAGTATCTTGTGGGGTGTACTGAGGCACAAGGAAAAGGTAGACAGAGTAAGCATGAGTTGCCTTGGTGGAAGGTCTCTTTGGAGATCCCCCCACCACTCCTAGCGTCATTTCCCATTCCCTCAAGACTCACTCAGTACAGCCCTTCCCTTCCCTCTCACATTCAGCATCTCTCTCTCTCTCTCTCTCTCTCTCTCTCTCTCTCTCTCTCTGTGTGTGTGTGTCTCTCTCTCTCTCTCTGTCTCTGTCTCTGTCTCTCTCCCTCTCTCTCTCTCTCTCTCTCTCTCTCTCTCACACACACACACACACACACAACACACACACACGATGGGAGCAACGAAGAGGGTGATCAGTTATTATTACTAAGAAGTCTGCAGCCTCTGTGACCCACTGCAGAGCTGTCACCTGCCTCTGGGACTTAGAACACTACGCAGCTTAGAAGGAAACCCCACCTGCTGTGGATGACTTTACTCCAATTTCAGGACCACAGCAACCAAACCTCTAGCGCTCCTCCTGAGTCATTTCATCTTGGTGGGCGCCTCTCGGTGCTTGCAGGCTTCCTTCCTTGAGTGCCATGTACCCAAGAAAGCTACTGCTGGGATACTTGTGGCCCCCTTTCTTCTCTCTCTTGCTCTTTCCTCTCTCCTGTCTCCGGCTCTCTGTCTGTCCCTCTCCGTCTCTCTGCGTGTACCTATTTGTCTCTTTCTGTCTCTCTGTTTGTCTCTGTTATTTCATGGAAAAGACTAGTCTCTTAAGGGGACCTTTAACGTTTTTAAAGTGCTTTATATCGTATCACTTTGTGGATACATTTCATTGCCCCGTGACTCTCTTCTGATCTATGTCAGCTGAATCTGATAAACAGTATGCAGGGTGTGGAGTGGGCACAATACGGGTGGACATCCTTGGGGTGACACTGCTCCTTTCTCAACTGATTTGCTGTCAGTCACATAAAGTGAGTGCCTCTAAAGGGTTTTGTGCAATGTTCTCTATATATTTCATAGCTTTGGACAGGTGTTTTCATGTTACAGTTCAATTCCAACATATAGGTCTCCTTTTCAAAGAAATTGCTGAAGATGATCAGTGATTGCCAAATTTAGATATCAAATATTACGCTTTAAAATCTTTTATTGCTATTAATTACAATACGTTTTAAAGTTACCTTTGCCCTTCCTCTTCATGAGTGGTTTTTTCCCCTCTTTATTCTTAAATTAGTTAAGTTCTTACCAGGAGAAATAAAATCATCTTTCCTTTCCTTTTTTGTCACGCTTGTTTACAACCAATACTATTTGAAGTGACTGGGTCCGTTGAGACAGGCTTCTCAGGGAAAATAAAGATATTTGCCAGTGAATTGGGCTAAAATTCAATGAGACAAGAAACAATAATGGGGAGGAAACTATTGTTTACCTATAGCTGTCTTGACTGCAGTGTGTTAACTGTGGTAAGAATAATAGCTCTGGCCTCTCCTAAGTTACCCTAGGCTACTTACACATGCTGTTTCCTCAATTAATAAAATAGAAACAGGCATTGTTGCTCATGGAAAATATTTTCCAATAGATATTGCTAAGCATCTAATGAGGGGAATTATGGGCAGAGTGTTCAGTGACTAGTCGCAGCAGGTGCTGGGTCCTGGTTGCTACATGAAACCGGATCTCAGACTTAATGTTGGAAGTGGCTCCCTCTGATATTTTTGTGAGGAGGTTTTCTCAGTGTTTGGAAGAGATGCTGCCTTCACTATTCTCACCATTTTGCAGACGTACACAGATGTTTTTGAATGAATAACTTTCCTCCTCACTGAATTTGCACTATTCAAGAAGTCTTTCTAGAGACATGAGCGCACACAATAAGCATGGCTGAGCTGGGGCGTTATTTCAAACAAGGAAGGATTATTGCTAGCAGTGGGGTGTTTGTTCTTACTCTGGGTGAGGGGAACTGCAGAGCTGTAGCTTTCTTAGGAAAACAGATTTGTCCCCAAAGTAGATAATCAGCCAACAAAGAGCCCTTGACTCGGGAGTCACATGATACATTAAAGTATCTAACTTTGTTTTCTGCCTAAGTCTTGCCATTATTTTTAACCCACGTGTCATTTGGATGACTCAACTCCACAGAACTGACGCTGTCTCTAATCTTCTGATTGCCTATCAGAGTTCTTAGAGCAAGTCATGAATCTGCAGTGACTCTCATTTCTAGTCCTGTCTTCCTGTGCACTTCTCTGGAGCACTGCCAGACCTCCATACATCATTAGCATTCACTTATGAATAAATGCAAATCTTCCTGTTGCCTCAAAAAAGCAAACTTAAATTCATAGAACAGTGTTTTGCTTCCTCATTTCCTCATCCCTATGTTTCCCTAATCTCGGCAACAGTAACATCTCTTAATAATGCAATTATATGCAAATGAAGAAGTTAACAAAAATGATTGTTTAGGTTCTCTTTTAGAGGAAAAAAATGAAACTTCTTATGGAAATTTTAGTTGGGGAGAATTTTCTTTGAATCTCCTGGAATATCTTGGCAGGCTGCCTTTTTTTAAATGGCAGTGGCCTTTATTCGTGAACTAAACAACTCTTTCTAGTGAAATACACTATTTGTGGATAGAGTACTTGCTCAAAATGACTAGCATGTTTGGGAATATAATGTGAGCTACAATACACTAGAGTGTTTAATTGAAATTGTATAAGTGTTTGCATATTTTTATGTTGTAAATGCAACATAAAACATTTCTCTGCACTATTTTATTTAATAGTTCAATATTGTAATTGAGTAGTTATTGTTTGGTAGTGGAACTGCATTTTAAGAAAAAGTGAGTGGTGTGGGGACAGACAAAATAAGAAAGAGAATTAATTGTTCAAATCACAGGGGTTTACCTTCATTCTAGCCCTGTCCCCTTTTTTATTTAGGGTGACAAAATAGAGGAAAGTCAAAGACAGAATGACTTTCCATTATGGACTGGAATGATGCTATTCGGAATAGTAGGATACTTAGATTTTTTTTTCCTTCAACTTAATATGTATTCTTTAAAGCAAGCAAAGCTGTATTTTTTTTTCCTGGAGTCCAATTATTTGTTGACAAATTTTTCTTTCTCTGTAATCCAAATTTGTTTCTGAGAACCCTGATGCAATCCTTACTTCTCTATCTGAAGCACAATTAAAGAAGATATTAATGACTACACTTTAAGTCACCGGTCAAATGTACTTCAAAATAGCTAACTTATCAATGGTTAGAAAAATTATGTTTGGAAATCCTTCTAGCTTATACACAGATAAGCATACACCACCTTTCTAAATCTTATATGCAAGGTTCATTATCTGCCTTATTATTTATTAATCTTTTCTACAATGGACTATTTTCCATTATTTTGAAATTTTTCATGAAAGAAAGCTGTATCTGTATTTAGAAGTGTTTGAAAAGTTGTTTTTATCAAGTATTATAGATAAATATATGCAAATATGTATACATACACATGTGCGTGTGTATATAAAATGCATTGGTCTTTGTTTCTGTGTACAGCTCTATGTTACAATAACCTACTACAGGAAGATTATCCCTTTGTGACATGGGATTTGTGATGTGAGCCTCATCTTCAGAGTGATACTTACAAATATCTCAAGTTTGGTATAAGAATTTTGGAGTGATAAACTTTTATGAGCAATTTGATTAAGAAATACTTATAATGGCCAATAGTGTGTGGCTAGTTAGTACTTTTCAAAATTCTTGACTAAAAAAACAACTCATTGATTTCTGCAGCCTCTCTGTCATGTCCCATCTTGCATAGGGGAAATACATATTGTTACTATGCCCATTTTAGAGATGAGGAAATTGACGCTTTGTCTCCTTAAATGGCAGCCAAATAGTTAAGGCTACCAATATGGTGAAGCTGACATTTAATTCGGGCAGCCTCCTATACTATTTCACTGCTTTTGAATAATTTTTTAAAGTTAATTAAAGCAATTATATGCGTGTTAGTTTTTGTTAACTTCACATGAACTAGAGTCACCTAAGAAGAAGAAAGCTAAGTTGAAGAATTGTTTCCATTTATTTGATCTGTGTATATGTCTGTGGGTTATTGTCTTGAATAATGATGGTTATGGCAGGACCCAGTTCACATGGGAGGTGCTAAGCCTGGTCGGGTGGTCCTAAGCAAGCCAGTGAGCAGCTTTACTCCATGAAGTTTTTAACTTTGAGTAAATTCTTCAGTAACTCACTAGGAAAGGGGCTGTAATGGAACAGTGACATAGCCTGAACCCGAGCAGGGCTGGAGTGTGGTACTGCACCTTAATGTAGTTTTTAATGGACTCAATCATTTCCTAAGGTTCGGCTACTGAAAATTAGGTAACTTTAAGAACTAATGCTACACTTAAGCAGATTTAATAGCATAGATGATCAGATACTGAATGTTTTATGCTTCCCATAATATCCTTATAATGTGAACTTCTTGCACTAAGGTCAATGATATGTGTTACTATAGGGTTCGTGCCAAAGAAATCTGAGTTTTATAAAAGGTATGAGATGGAACTTCACCTTGTCAACATCATCTCTATACAGCCTGTTACTGTTTGCTACATGAACTAAAGATGGATATTCCTCAAATTGCTTGTCCAAAGACAA